CACTGCTGTTCTCTTAGACTAATCCCTGCGTATCTATAAAAATTCACTGACTTAATTCTGTATATTATGGTACCCTTAGTTCTACCCAAAATGGCGTGCGTTCTGGGGCCTTTGATGTACTCTTACTGGTATCCTGCGTTACAAATGAGGATAGAGTCCGCTTGAATTACGAGCCCTGCCGGACTGGAGATTATACCTCCTAAAAGTTTTATAAACAAATTGCATTGCTATGGCTAAATTTTGATGATAACACTGTAACGACGCTAAAATTACACAAAAAAACGCCGAGAGACGTAAAATTAATTTTAAGTAGTATGTTACGGATCTGTATACCTTTTTTTTAGATAAGGTCATTCAGTTAAGTTATTTTCATTTTAAGTTTTCATTGCGAATGAAAAAAATCAAACTCTATTTATCCAGCGATTTTCATCGTTAGTAATGTTTTAAGCCGCAAAACAAGCAGATATTGGCTAGTCTATACTAACTAATATATATTTTGAAAGCCGTTTTTTCTGTTCGCAAAGCTCGAGAAAGGCCGTGCCAACTTTTTTTAAATTTCGGAATCTACTGCAGACTTTCCAAGGATGGTTATAGGCTAAAAAAAAGTTTCGATATAGAAAGGGGGCGTGGCACCTCTCATACAAACCGAATTTTTCAATCTGCATATATTTGTGGTAGAGGACTAGATCTGGGTGTGGGGATACATACATATATATGATCAATTTCATACTCATGGAGAAAAATTTGCATGATTGGAGAATGGGGCGTGGCACCTCCCATATAAACCGAACTTTTCATATTGCATATCCCTGGAAGTGTTCATGGTAGACTGTAAGCCTTTTTGAAACTCTTTAGTTTGACACCCACATGTCAACATTTCATTTACTGTATCAATTTAACTGAGTTACAATTTCCAAATAGGTGGCAGCCCCTCTCAAAAATATTTCCAACAGTTATCTTTCTTAAACCTCTTTAATTTGATACCCACATTGTAATATTTTATTTATTTTATCAATGTAATTTAGTTAAATTTTCAAACAGATGGCAATCTCCTCAAACATATTTTCGGCATTAAGCCTTCTTAAAACTCTTTAGTTTGACACCCACATGGCAATATTTCTTTTATTTTATCAATTTGACTGAGTTAAAATTTTCAAATAGGTGGCAACCCTCGTCAAAAATACTTCCAACAGTTATCTTTCTTAAACCTCTTTAACTTAATACCCATATTGTAATAATTCACTAATTTTATCAATATAATTGGGTTTACAAATTTTAAAATAGGTGGCAACCCTCCAAATTTTTGCGATATCATTGGTTTTGGTACTATACCGAACAATAAAAAAAATATAATTATTATTCAAATCGGTTCAGCCGTTCTCGAGTTTTGATGACCGTGACATACGAACATAAAATTTTTATATATATAGATATACATAGAAGATTTCCAATGTGTGCTTTCGATTTTAATCTTTGGCCACAACAAAAATTCCACATTGTAAATTCGTGAATGAACTTTCAGTTTCTCGATTACTTTTACAATTCCTTTGAGTAATTGAAAAAACTAAAGTACTCTTGCAATTCCAGGTAATGGAATTGAAAAAAATCAATTACATCTTCAATTCCTTTCAAAGGAATTGGAAAAAAAAATTACATTACTAGCACGTAATTTATTCCAATTACAATATGAAATTCCTTGTAATGGAATTAAAAAAAAAAAACAATTACATTTGAAATTACTCCAAGGAATTGAGAAAGTAATCGATTACTTTGCTGTGGACTGAAGGAATTGATTCCTAATTACAATTCCTTGTAATCTGTAATTGGGAGTAATTTAATTCCTATAGGAATCATTACGACCCAGCTCTGATGGAGAATATGCTTTCTAAAAACCACAAGACCAAACTTGAACGTGGATTGTGGTGAAAACGTTGTACCAAATGTTTCAATAAAAAAAAAAACAAATTTTGGGCTGAACGAAGTTCGCCGGGTCAGCTAGTAATAAATAAATGGGTTCTATCAATGCTAAGAACACATAAAATCAGCATGTATTTACCCTGCAGAAAAAAATAACCAATTTCTTTTTTTGCGGGATTTCGATAAATAACTAACTTCTGACATGACAAAACTAACTTTAAATTAGTTATAAGGTCGTGCAGGAGTCATGCAGACGTTATCGGGAGTTTAAACATCCTACAAAGAATACTTTCAATACTCTTTTTTTCTGCGCCAATGTGTAAGCGCCAATCTATATATATATATATAGTTTATGTGCAAAACTAGTTAGCTACAACTTAGTTGACATCTAATGCAGAGGAAACCAGGGATCACTAGTTTGCGGTCATCGCCCTTCAAAAGAAATTAATTACGGCCAAAGGAAATAGTTAATCAATAGTTACCACTAGTGGACTGCTAGTTAGTTAATAGTTTGCTACAAACTTGTCCTTTCCAGCAGGGTAGGAAGCACGGCTGAATCAATAGCAGCCATAAGGCGTTGCCCTCAAGGTGGTGGACTCTTTCTCACACTTTTTATTGACTATTTTTACGGTCACGCAGAACGGTCAAGGATTTGAAACTCAAGGCTTCGCGGAGATCTAGTAATCTGCATGAAAGGCTGCATGGCGAAACCACTATCAATCGCATGCAAAAAGCCCTACGTATCACACAGAAATGGTGTTAAAATAAAGGACTAAGTATTAATCCTAGAAAACCTATTATTGTACTATTTACCCGAAAAAGAAAGTTTTCTATGACTAAAATTACTTGGGCGGCAGAGAAATAGAATTTTCCAGTGAGGCAAAATATGTACCGGGGGGTAACTCGATAAAACACTCAACCGGGACGCACATTTGGATGCTGCTATCAACAAGACGATGAAGGCTTTATTTGCCTTTTTACGACTGTTTGGTAGAACATGGGGCCTAACTCCCAAAAGACCTCTTGGTCATTTAATACTGTCGTAAATCCGATAGCACAAGCACAAAACGAAGTAAATTGCGCCGAATGATTTGCATTGGCTTAACTGGACCGATGAAGACCTGTCCTGCTGTTGCCCTCAGCGCTGTGGTTGGCATACCTCCCTTTCATATTTTAACCCTGCTTTGATAACCTACGTCTGCGAGACGTATTCTTTTTAAACTCCTCGCTCTCTATTTCTGGAAATGAAGATTGAAAGCTGTGGGGTTTCCATTTTAAATGAAGAATATTTCTAAATAAAATGCATTTAAGTAATAAATAGATATTTAAAGATGATTTATTTTGGAACGAATTTCCGTCATCCCTTGTCAAGTTTGGTTTGCAGACAAACCGGTTTCGGCGTTGTGCCATCTTCAGTGTCATTTTTCGTTCTGATATTTAAAGACTTGAAAACAATATTCCAAAAAATCGTTATTATCATAAAGTTGAGCCAAGAAAACGATGATACGTCTCACAGACGTATGGTTATCTGCTCATCAGTAGGGTTATCAAAGCAGGATTAATAGAAAAGGAGGCGACTACCGCGGCCCTGAGAAGCCGAAACAACTCCGATCTGAATATCGAAAATATGCCGTATCGCATGAAGGTCCTAATGAAATTTCCTAATAACCCCATATTGCAAATGCGCGATGCAGTAGTTGCAAAACTAGTAATTTCTACGAAATTTTTAGCTCTCGAGCTCTCTAGAATGCAGGAAGCCCATACACCAATCATAATGAGGAGGTTTGGTACACAGATCGATCCAAACTTGATGATGGTAAAAGTAAGGCTGGCATATTTGAGCCGAACTTCAAAAAATCTATAACAATGGGTAGCTAACCCACTGTCTTTCAAGCGGAGATTCATGGCTTAGAAAAGGCACATCTTCGAAATAGATCTGCATTCGGACAGTCAGGCTGCCCTAATGCCCTAAACTCGGAGCCAAGAATACAGTTATATTAGGATGGGTTCCGTGGTATGAGGGACATGATAGAAGGCAGGGATAGCAGGCTGCGTGCCTAGCGAAACCAGGCCACCACGGTATTTCATGGTTCAGACCCCTTTTGTAGGCTCACCAAATCACACAAAAAGGGGATCAGAAATAACTGGGTGGAAAACTTTTTCAACAGGCTCTGGATGGAATGCCCAAGGCAGAGACAAGCCAAAGAATTTATCTGTGCTTCAAAATAAGCTTCAACGAAACTACTTAATTTTAGTCAGAGACGACCTTCTATGGCGCAAAACGCCATTGTAAGAGCTATGCTACATCAACCGCGTTCCGATAAAGGGCGGAGGGTCACGCGCAATAGATCACTTTAGAGGTCACGGTGAATATACCCCATAATAATAATATTAACCGTCTTGGGCGGATGATGGAAAAACGACAAATCGTCTTTCATCAAGCCAATGCAAGCTTTTACACATCCAGTCACACAAATGATTTTTTAACATCGAATTGATATGGGTTAGTTTTTGTTCTGGTAAATCGTACGTAAACTTCGCGGACAAGGGTTTTCATCTCCAGAAGAAGCTGTTAACGCATTGGAAGACCATGTCTTTATCTACCGACTTCACTGCGTACAAAAGTGTATAGATCATGCTGAAATAACACCACTTTAACCGACAACATTTGTTTTCTCTTAAGCGGCCCTCACACTCTCCCAAATTTCGAACCAGTGTACTAACGTTTAGGCATCAAATTTTTTAATCTTCGGTAAATAGTAAAATTACCTGCTTAACATTATTGTAGACCATTTAAATCTTCTGCCATTTTTAAGGAAATTCTTCAAAATAATTTACGGTGCAAGTTAAGAGGTTAAAATCTGCTTTAAAAAAATGATTCGCTAAATTTTGATGTATGCTTAGCATGTTTTGGAAGCGCCAATCTATTAATATTGTTATTATTATCTTCGAATTCTTATTTTAGAGTCTGACTATCAGGCATGGTTGCCATTGTTGTAGCATAGTTTGGTTGAGGCCTTAAACAACAAGCCCTAAACTTATATTACATAAATAACAACTCTTTCATTCTTCCATTCTTTGCAGGTGGTTGCTGTGGTTCTACCAAGAAGCGCACCATTGTTGGTGGTTGGGCATGGGCTTGGTGGCTGGTGACCGATGTGCAGCGCCTTTCGCTGGAGGTGATGACGCTCAATCCAATGTGCGAGAATGTTGAAACGGCTCAGGGTGTGCCATTGACCGTAACTGGAGTGGCCCAGTGCAAAATCATGAAGGTACGTTGAGAAACATTCATTCATCGCTCGCTCTAATTTGCCAACAAAATAATTCGATTTTGCTTCAAAGGAATTTATAAGAAATATTTTTATTTACTTCTCTTTAGTTTTGTTAATTTATTAAAGTTATGTAGCGCTTTTTAGCAATAAGTTACGAATTTGAATATAAGTAAATAATTTATGACGAATATTACTGTTAAATTGAGCTAATATCCATAACATAGTTAAATAATTAAAATAACTAATATATGATATTTATATTTAGTCGTTGGCTGGGTAATTGTATCAGTAACAGCCTTGGAACAAAAACAAAGAATGGCATGCTAGCTTTACTCTTAACGTAATTTTGTATATCTTTTCAAAATAAGCGTATTTTCTTTTTGCATAATTAATTGAAAGAAGAAATGCATTTGTTCTCAATTACTTATTTGGGTGATTCCTTTAAACTCGAAAAACTTTAAGACTCGAAATTCGTAAGTATTTCCTATAGCAATTTCGATAGTTCAATCGTAGTTCCGAGGAATGTGAGGCTTTTCCAGTTTAAGGGAATACTGTTATTTATATTCTTCTTGAATTTCTGTAATTTATGCTGTACTTCATTAATCGACTTTTCTTCGATATTATTTATACAATTACAAAAAAATTTTCAAACAACATTCGAATCAGTGTAGCGTAAAAAGCCTAGAAAAAATAGAAAATACAAAGTAAGTTTAAAATACAATATTTTATTTTAATATTATAATCATTTAAGTGTTTAAGCAAATTGACTGAACCATTTCGCCACACATGCGCAAGTCAAAATTATATCATAATTCGTACTTTGTCCAATAAATGCTCACAGTATGTAGCCAGAAATGCTTGAACCGAGAAGCAGTTAAGTTTTAATTGTTATTATTTTGATTTCTATTTTGTTCAATCATTACGCATAAACTCACGGGTTCGTTCGAATGATTACCACACTCCCAAATTTAGTTTAAAAAAATGATGGAGTCTGTCACCTCGTTCGGAATTCCGGAGGCAGAAAACAGAGTTGTTTAGAAAGTTTTAAAAGCAATAACTTTTTTTTACAAAAACAAAAATGCTATGGAGAAATGCAGACACTCCCTTGGATACTACTTTCCCTGCCACGGGCCGAAGACTGAATATGAAACTGGAGCGGCTGGGATAATTGGTGAAAGTTGGCGCGTACATAAAATTACAAGCTGCATTGGCAGCCAATCTGCCCTAAAAGCTTTGGCAACCGTTTTTCTTCTAGCATAGCCCAGGAATATAAGTGGAGTCTGAACTCCATTGCGAAATGGAACGAGCTTGAACTCATGTGGGTATCGGGCTATGATGGGGCCGGGAAAAAATCCATGGGACCCTGGTATACATAATTTTTGGAGGACGAGGGTAGTGCAGAGCATTTTATATACCCACCCTCAGTTGGACTCAAATGCTGCATTATTAGGGCAAATGTTTTGTGAATGGATAAGCTAGATCCTTTTCTTTACCAACTACTAATATTCAAAAAAAAGTTCTGCTAAATTTGCAGGGGAGTAATGGTTTCCCACGCTCACCTGTTGTCACCTACAACTACCTTTAATCCTTTCTCTATGCCTTGAGTACAATAGGCAACTATGACTGAGTGGTTTTGAGTTTTTCGTCCTACAGCAATACTTTTCCAGATAACACTTTTTCTGTCATTTGGTTGTTTCGTACGCCGGACATCGAACTCGAGACTTACCGATTATAAGAACGCACTGCTACCCATCCGACGATTGACTTGGCAGAAGCCATAACAGATCTAAGGGATCTCGTACACCGACTCAGCCTTTAGGTACATCAAAGGTTTATTTCATAGAATGCGGATGCTGTCAATGAGGAGTTTTTCTTCGGCAAAACATTTCAAATCAGTTGCTGCTAACAGTGTTCGGACGCTAAAGTTTTTGAAGTGAAACTTCTTAAGGAGTTCGGAGATGTTTATCAAGGCACATTATACAGGTATTAGAGCAAAAACAACATTTACGCGTATTTTGATGTTGCTTCAGGTCTCTAAAGCGCCAAAAAGTTATTCAGATTTTTTTTTTTTAACCAGAGTGTGCCATGTGAAATACACACAGAAATTTAAATAATACAATAAAAAAATATATATGTATGTATATAAATAAAAATTGCTGCAACTTTATCTCTTGGTAAATTTGTCTGCATACAGAGGCATCGATTCATCCTTTACAAGGCCCTGTAATCAGCGTTTGGGCTCCTGAGTTAGATTTAACATGAATGAATGAAAGAAATCAAAAAGATTTGATATTTTAGTGACCAAGTAATTAAAAAAAAAAGAAATGGGCGGCTCTACTGCTACTACCTGTCCAATATTTGACACCAAAATTGTGCAATCGCATAAAATAAACAGAAAGTAAAGGATGAAAGAATGAGCACGTGTTAGACGTAGTAGAAATGTAAAAAAGCGGAATCTCTTTCACAATTGAGGCCATGAGAACAGAAATGGCCTGCCCCCAAAATTGTTTTGTGTGCTTCCCTACTTAAAACAGTATCAAATTTACCTAATTTTAAAATGAAAGTTGCTTATTCTTTAATTTTAAGATACAGAGATACATAACGTAACACCAAATTATGGAATAAGCGTATTTTATTTTAAAATTTATCACATTTGAAACTATTTTAAGAAGATAACTACAAAAAATATTGTGGGTTAGGCCACTTCTGCTCTCATGACCTCAATTGTGGTATAGTCCGAGCACTGGCTGTTGAGGAAGACTTGATTACTTATTTCGTTTGGACCGAGTGCTTGTTATACTCCTAAAGCTAACAAGAGGAAAATAATGAAAATCAAATCGATCGAACCTGTGAGTCAAGTCGTATATGTTATTCAAAAACGTTCTTTATTTAGTGTTAGAAAGAATCCTTAATTTTTTTATGTTAATCTTATTTTATAGTAATTCTACCCTAAAATGTTTATTTTTATTATTAATTTACAACTTTGTATGCTTTTATAAATATTTTATATAAAAATATATTTCACTATTCTTACTTTAATTTCTGTTTATGTTTTATTAAATTTTCATATCGGTAAATGTCCGTTGGCGAGTTTTTGAGTTCAAAATAAAAGCTAAAGAGATCTAATGAAAATGCTAATCATATTAAAGGTATGTTTCTTTTCTCGTTTATTTTTAATTACTATTACATTTTATTTAAACTTGAGTGTTTTTCTAACTCGTGCAGCTTTAAAAAATGTTTATGTAAAATTGGAAGGATACATTTTTGGTTTTGTTATCCTTGCGTGTTCTGTATGTATTCTTACTAAATTTAATCATCTCTGTCACATCATAAATATTTACATATTCATACCAGAGCACAATTATTTGATTTTATGAAATATTTTGAAACAAAAAATATATTTTTCTAGTGTAGGAATCAAATAAGTACATAATTCAAAGACAATGTACTAAACTTTTTTATCAGTCTAGAATGAAAATTCCTGGAAAAAAGGAAGTGTTCTTTGAAAGGAGTAAACTTTCGACAATTTGTCCTGCATGCATTTAGCTCCCATTTGATAGATTCTTCTCCATTGACCATTGACATTGTTTTCTACAAAGCTAGAATTTTCCCACAAAGTTTGAACATGTTTCGTATGTTGTTGCTACTAGTGAAAAAATTTCCACATTTATTGAGTTTCTGAGGATTTATGTTCGTTTAAATATCACCTGGTTTAACAAAGATCGAATACAATGGCCATAAATATCATCTATTTACTCCAATTTTGCGCATAAGCTGTGGTCTAACAGTAAAAGCAGTTCTTTGAAAGGCTGAAAATATTGTACAGCCCCAGTCTCATTTCAGAAAGACAACTACATCCAAAACAACTACATGGTGGTACAAAACAACAAATAAATATGCTCGAAATTATTGTGTAAATAGCCAACAATCTAATTAAATCTGGTCAATAATTAGTGAATAACTTAAAATTTGGTCACTGGTAAATTTTTCCTATACTGCTTGAGTAAACTCTTTAAAGTCTTCTGATCAAGCCTTAGCGTAGGCACTCAGAGGTCCTCTAAAGCGTTTTCCACATACACAGGGTGGGCCAAATAAGACCTACCAATTGCCTAGTCGCTCCATCTTGTTGTAACCACAAATTAGGATGCTGCTCTGCCGATGGCCGCAAAACGTTGTCAATCATTGTTCTGTAAAAAGCCCCAGAAATCGTTTCTGGCATTTTATCCAAATTCTCGAAGAAATATGGGATGATAACTTGTTCGGCCATAACACCGCACTAACCAGTGCATCTGGATGGGTGTAACCGGTGCTGGTATGTTACCCTTGGATTGCTAGAGCCCCACAATCTACAGTTTTGCTTGGAAATGCGCTTCATCCGACATCAAAACATTACCTAAAAAATCAATTTGTGTAGCTAATTGTGTAAAACGAATAGCGTATTGTATTCGTTGTTGGTGGTCTTGCTGTAAGTATCCATTATGATTTCTAGGGGATTAACTATAACATGCAGAAAGAAAATAACAATGATATTAAAAAATAAAGAAGTTATACGTGTTTAACATTGGTAGGTCTTATTTGGCCCATCCTGTACTAGACTAAACGACACTATGGTATCTTAGAAAAAATTGCACTATAAATAACCTACCTCGAGCATAGGTAATGAAGGTTTTGATCCTTGGCTGAACATTTCTGAAGGTTGTGAAAAGTGTCTTTTGAATTTTTTTCCGTCAAAATTCTTTTAAGTTGGCATTGGATTTGTAAATTTATGTATGAATTTGTGGATTAGTGCGGTGACTCTGAACTTTTTTCCACCTACCATCAATGAACAAAGTGTATGTATTTTATTAGGAAAAATGGAAAAGCAACAAAGTCTAAGCGGTAGACTTAGATCTCCTTATCAGACTTATTTTTCCTAGACTTCCACTGAGCTATGCACACCCCGTAAACTCGTGTTGCTAATTAATTTTCCTTATTCGACCTACTGCTATCAAGTGCAGCTG